AATGCTATGGTATGTGTATTGAACTTCTCATGCTATGGTACCCATTATCTTCAACGAGTTTTTGGTTATTGCCACACTTCTCAAGTATCATTTCTCATTCATGTAAGGTATTTCATTTGATGGACCATTATGTGATGCCGAATCATACATCATTGACCACCAAATCAATTGGTGGAAGGGCAATTAGTTGAAGAAAATCATGTTGTGTATTGAGCTTGGTTGTGTATTGAATTTGGTTGTGTATTGAACTGGGTTGTGTGTTGAATTTGGTTATGTATTGCACTTGGTTGTGTATTGAACTTTGTTCAAGTCTCATACACAAAAGCTAAACACCTACTTTCATAACTTTGTCCAAGTCACATACACAAAATCCAATGGACCTTTGGTTCAATACTACTTCTTGTTTTATAAAAATTTTGTCTTATTGAGGTGAAGGGTTCAAGCTCCCTTCCTCTTTCCCTCACCCCCTCTCCCCAAAAAAAAAAAGTGGGTGGCCTGGCTGTTAGCACTCAATTGATTTTCCCTTTGTTGCTAAAAAATTCAATTACGCTGATTTATGTAAACAGGCAATATGATTTTCTTTTCACTTTATTCAGTCGAACTATAATTATTCACGGGTGATTGTCAAATTATGACTCGTAAGAGACCCAGTGAAATGCTTTATAATGCAGACAAGCTGTTTGTCAAAATGCCAAAAAAAAAAAAGAAATTTCCTTACAGTACTTTGGCTTTTGAATTAAATTTGGCTATGTAGAGACACAGGAGAGGTGCCTGGTGACGTATTTGCTCACTCCAATTGCTTATATGAAGTGCAACCAACACCATCACCAACTGGGTCAAGGCAATGTCAAGCATTTTTTGCAACTAGTTTTTTCTGCTAAGAGTTTTTTGCTCTTCTTTGTTATTTGTTCTAGAATGCAATTATCTGTTTTCACGTTAGTTGGTTCAGTGTTTCTAATTCTGATTTCCTTGTTTAGCTATTGAGCAAGGTATTAATCAAGTCTGAGGATAGGTTATTACGAGCGCACTTTGAAGATTAAAGCATGAAAGTACAGTTGGGACTTAGGAGGGGGAGTCGGTCTGGCCAGAGCGCTTCTACTGGAATTCCAGCCATTTGCGGTGAAAACAAAATTAGAAAGAGGCCATAATTAAGGTCAATAAAAACATAAACTATATTTCAATGAAAAATTTAACATTCGAATCAAAACATTCAACCTAGGAAATTCAAATAACATGATGTCTTGGACTAAAAATTACTAGGGGATGAAAACTCATAAGATTTCCATTCCATTCTACTTTAAGAGAAATTCACTCTGTCCCATCCCATGCCCTCTGGAAATTCACACAGTGTCCTGTTCTCCAGTTGATTGCAGAGAGTTAATTTGTTTCTGGACATCTTGGATTAGCAACGCCATATTGTGGTGAGAAGAGCCACCATCCTCTACGGCCATCTTTGCCATTCTCCCCATCTCTCTTGCTCTTTTTCTTCTGTCTTGTGCTTCCTCTCCTTCACCCATCAACACGTCGACACACGTCGTGAAAACATTCTTCTTAGCCAACACTCCAATCTTTTCTGCATCTCTAATATTAGCATGAATATTTATACCAACACTCACTCCAATCCTCAGTACTTGAACAATCAATTTCTCATTCAAAAATTGCTCCGCAAACATCGGCCATGTTATCATTGGCAAACCAGCAGACACCCCTTCTAATATAGAATTCCACCCACAATGTGTTAAAAAACCCCCAACCGCAGGGTGAGACAATATTAATACCTGTGGTGCCCAACCATGGATCAAAAGCCCTCTTCCTTTGATCCTTTCCTCGAATCTTTCTTCCACAATCCATTTCTCGAAACCATCCGGTTTAGACCTGACAACCCAAACGAAGGGTCGGTTTGATGCCTCCAAACCCAACCCAAGCTCTATCATCTGCAAAGTAGAGAGGCGACATATGCTACCTAGAGAAGCATAGAGCACAGACCCTGGCTCGAATGAGTCGAGCCATTTGAGGCAATGGTTTTCATTGATAGCAGACTTGTTACCTCTGGCGGCCATATCCGTATTTTCTTTGTTGCAGAGAGAAACTGGGCCGACGCACCAAACATTTTTACCTTTGGCCTTGCTATATTCTTTGACATACTCCGGCTCCAACTCCTGGAAAGTGTTAGCAAGTATCCCATATGCAGCTTCTTCAGCCTCTCTTCGTTCATCAAGTTGATCTTTGAGGGGAGGATACGTTGGCTTGAGAACGCCCGAAACATGTTCTTTTTTAATTTCAATTCGATCAGGCAGGCCGGGCACAACCAACTGATCTGATTCAGATTTAATATCATCAAGAGCGTCGAAGATGTGCAAATTGTGTAAGCACAACAGAGAGAAGCAGCAATATCCATGGAAAAAGAGCCTCGGAATGCGGAACTCGCGGGCTAAACTGTTTATCCATCTGAAGTGAAAATCAGAAATTATGCAGCTTGGAGGTGGTTCTAACACCTTGAATAAATTTTCCACCTGTTCCTGTAGCAATCCACAGGCGACCAAAAAGTCGGCGTAAATATCCATTTTAGGGAGCATATCGAGACTCTCGCACCCTTCTGGTATCCCTGCTTCTGTACATGGAAGTCGAAGTTCGACTACTCGGATTTGAAGCCCAGATTCTACTGCTCTATCGATGGTAGATTTAAATCGAATAGCATTGAGGGGTGTTGTGAGGATGGTGACCAGAACGCCTTGCTTTGCCAACAATCTGGCGGTGTCTACCATGGGAATGATTTGGCTTTGAGACAGAAAAGGAAACAAGACAAAGTTAAGCTCTTGGGCTTGAGGAGGAGGAGGAGGAGCCATGGAAATCAACAAGGAAATAAGCAAATGGGTTTGGGTTTGGCCTTCCCTCTCTTAATTCTGTAGCTTGGGTACTTCCGTTAACAGACTAGCTGGTGTTAAATAGTTTTTATCACAAACTGGAAGAAAATGTCAAAAAGACCCATGTGAAAACACCCATGTGAAAAGGCAGAATAGTACCATTTGCATTTGTTTCAAATTTCTTTCTTTCTTTCTTTCTTTTTCGGTGGTTTTTTTATTAATTAAAAGACGAGAAAACTAAACCTTCTATGACAGGTTGGTAAGCCTGAAAAAAAAGGTAGGTGGCACGATTTCACACTTGCAATTGGTGGAGGACAACACGAAGTTAATGGGAAGATGTTGAATATTTTAGGGATTAATAAAATAAATGCTCCATCTATTTTTCTTTTTTTTTTTTGGATCAGGCATCTATAAATTATATTATAAAATATGACAGATTTGAATAAATTCAATTGATGATTTAAAATAAATACATCTAACAGCTACTAACATCCCTCTCAAAATTATTAACATTATATCGTATTTTTAGATACGAGTTACCCATAATGTTAATGATAAAGTTTAAATTGACGAACTTAAAGTCCAATAACAAAAATGATATCCATTAGACCAACCGTTTGCTTCTCCCTCCATTTGCATGAAATCATACATAATAGAACACGAAGTTTGGTTATAAAATTCATGTTATATTACGAATAACTTAGATTCCTTATTTGATTTTGTTTTTTTTTTCAATAGATAGGATAATTGTATACTAATTATATTTTGTAAGAAAAAATTAAATTTTATTTTAATAAATGATATAATAGAATATTTATTTTGGTTATAAAATCTAAAATATTTGATATTTTATCTTTGATTGAAATATTTTTAGTTTAAATATAATATTTTAAATTTAAGAGGTCTAAATATTGTGCGCGTATAAATTTTAAGGGATATGTATGTAATATTTCAAATATTATGAAATTTGAATGATTAAGCGATAGAAAGTTTGAATATAATTCTCTTAAAAAAATATTTTTTTTTATGTGAGACAATCCATTGGTTGGTTTGGTGAGTCCTCTTGATGATATTAATATTTTGGGCAAAGAGAAGCTGGTAGTTGAAATCCATTCCCCACTGACTACTCAGAGACTTCTTGGTGTTTGGTTAGGTACGAATTCTCAAACAAATAGTAAAAAGAGGTTTGGTGAGAAATATAAATTCTTAAGAATTTTTTTCGTCTAACATTTTTAAGGTGAAAAATTCGTAAAATTAATCATTGACATATATACATTTAATGAATGAAGTTATTTAAAAGAGAAAATTGGTGAAATGTCCTTCAAAATAGTTCTTTAAGTCATTAAATGCAAGCATAACATTTTTAAGATTATAAGGACAACTCTAAGTATATTTTTTTTGAAAAATGCTAAAAAATTGACATAATTTACTGATTTAATGAGGTGACTTCATTGAAACCATTAGATAAACACTAAATTTCAATATTTGATGGAGTCTACAATTATCACGATTTTTTAAAAAAATTCTCCCCCTTCTCTCCTCATTTTTGTACGTCTTCCACACTTTCTCTCTCCTTTCCATCTTTCTCTCTCTCTTTCCTTAACCCACACCACACGAATCTATTACCAATGTACAGCTATTTTAGAACATATATACTAAAATACAACATTTTTAAACTTATTTACTAAATTACAGCAGTTTTTAAAAGTGGATGTACCAATCTCGCTTTTATTAAAAAACTGATTTACCATTTCCGTTTTTATTAAAAAGTGAATTTATCAATCCCGCTTTTTTATTACAAAAAAAAAAGTGGGTAGTGGAAAAAGCGTGGTTACTAACCACGCCTTTTACACTTTTTTCGCACAAAAAGAGTATTTCGTTTTAACACAAACTCTGAGTAGGTCGATTCATTTTAGTGGCCATGAGTTTATCATCCTCCACCCAACCGAAAAAGAAAAAATAAAAAGACATTGGGATGTAATGTGCTTTCTCGAAGGGTTCTGGGTGTGGAGATTTTGAAGGGTTTTCTTACAAGGGTCTGTATTATTAGCTAGTTTTTGACAGAGATAGTTGCCAAAATGCCTATGTTTCTGCCTTCAAAGAGAGTTGGGGTTGTGGGGTTTGAAGGTGGTGGTGATGGGTAGGTTCTAGATTTGGAGACTACCGTTAAAAATGGGGTTTTGGGTGGTGTTGAAGGAGGTTTTTTTGGTGTTGGGATTGGAGAGAAATTGGATCTGAAGAAGATGATTGAAGAGCTCAATTTGCCAGAAGTTCCATCTGTATTTATTTGCCCAATTTCCCTTGAACCTATGCAAGACCTAGTGACCCTTTGCTCTGGACAGACCTATGAGAGGTCCAACATTCTCAAATGGCTTAGCTTGGGGCACTACACTTGCCCCACTACTATGCAATAGCTTTGGGATGAGTCGGATACTCCAAATAAGACCCTGCACCATTTAATTCATACTTGGTTTTCACAAAAGTATTCGCAGATGAAGAAGAGATCGGAAGATGTGTAGGGGATAACTTCCTGAATGAAATGATCTTTCATGCAAAAAAGTGTAAAAAGCGTGGTTAATAACCACACTTTTTCCACTATCCACTTTTTTCTTTTTAATAAAAAAAGGGGATTGGTAAATCCACTTTTTAATAAAAGCGGGATTGGTACATCCGATTTTAAAAACTGTTGTAGTTTAGTAAATAAGTTTAAAAGGACTGTATTTTGGCATATATGTTCTAAAATAGTTGTACATTGGTAATAGATTCCACACCACACGCACTCTTATTTCCATTCTTATTTATTTTCTCTCTCATACGTCATGCGGTTATCTCCATTCTCTTGTCCTGTACAGAAATATAGGAGCTATTAGTCGCCTCCTTTATTGTGCTCGAGTGATCAATTATGACAGTACTTCCTTTGTACGTTTCTTCCTTTGGTGCTCGAGGTATCTATTTCAAGGGTCCGACTACAATACCGAATTTTTCTTTTCGGTACGCTACCGATATTTCATTTGGGCCATTGATGTAATTTTTCTATTTTTGTAGCCATTGATAAGTTTGAAAAGTGGCATACCGATTACCTACTAAACCAGTAATGGAAAAGAGTAGGACTTGACAAATAACCTCACCCAAAAAAATTGGAACTGCTACTCAAAAAGGTTGAAATACTCCTCCAACTGTTAAACCCAAAAAAGTTTGAACCCTCCCCAATAGTTGGAATCCTACCCAAAAAATTTAGAACCCCTACCCAAAAAGGTTGGAACTCACTCCAAAAAAGTTAAAACCCCTACCAAAAATGTTGGAACCCCTACCTAAAAATGTTGGAACCCACCCAAAAAAAGTTGGAACCCCTCCCTCAAGAGTTGGAACATCTACCCAAAAAGTTGGAACATGTAAACCCCCACACTCTTATCTTTATATAGCAAGTAATTATTTTTAAAATGCTAATATAGGTGATGATGTATGCATGAACCCTATAGATTTCAATAGTATGAATAAATACTAGGGAGACAAATTAATGGTAAAATTTAATTTTTAGAGGTGTTTCAGGTTGATAAGGGTAACTAAGTAAAAATATAAATTTTTTTAGGTCAAAATAATATTATCATTGAACCTAAGAGATCCGAAAAAATTTGGAATAGCTTTTTAGCATATATAGCGGTTCGAAGGAATAAAATAATAATTTTCGTGTTTCGAGTATAAATTTATTTTAGTTTTGAGATAACTCATAAAAATAAATATTTTTAGGTTAAAATAACATTAAAAATGAATCCAGAACGTCGAAAAACTTTAGGGTAGTCATATGGATCAACTTAGAGATTCTTAGTGGCAAAATCATAATTTTAGAGAAAACCAAATCAGTCTGTGAACAATAAAAATCGGGGCTGCTGTGTTTAAAAACCCATTTACTCCCATTCTTTTCATTCCACTCTCACCCCACACCTCTTGGAACCTTAGAGGATGATTAAGGAAGGAAGAAAAGGGAAGAAGGAGGTCACTAGAGCTTGGGTTCTTACTTGAAAATTTGTTCCAAGTAGGGGTTTTCTTCCATTCTCTTACATTTAGGCTAGGGTTATACATATATGTTTTCTTTGACTCTACATCATATTAATATACTATGAAATCATGGATTCTTGATGTTTTTACAAATGTTAGCATGTTTTAAACAATAGGATGGTTGGGTAACCATAAAAGTTCATTTCTCATATTCAAAATCCTAGATTTCAAGAAAAGTGGATTTTTCTCTTGATTTCTCCTTTATTGAATTTAGTGTTTCGTATTGAACAACATAATGATATTTATGATGATCTCTTGCTAATTTTTCTTAAATTATTCTATTGTGAAATAAATGTGAATTTGGATGTGAAAAATTGTTGATTTATGGAATTGAGTGTGTTTGAAAAATTGTTGGTGATTGTATCTCATGGAGGTGTTTGGATGACCATGGGTGGCCATTGATCGGGTATTGTAGAGTGGGTAGATGTGTGTGGTTCTTACTCCATGTGGGTTTAAACTTTTTCTACCACTCGTAGTGGGGTTGGTGCCTTGCGAGGACCAAACAACTATTAGCTCACGGGTGCCGTGTCAGAGGATTAATTATGTCTGGGTCGAATTCGTTATTGCCGGTGCATTGGTATGAGACAATGCATTGGTAGGCGCCCTTTTCGAAGTTGATATCCTTGCAAGGAATTATGTGTGTGTGGGTCAGGATATTCTCTATGTGTTTATTCATGCGATTATCTTACATCAGACTTGAGATACATTTGTGGTTATTGTTTATTACGTTATCTTTTGGATATGATTATCTTGAAAATTGTTGTGGGAATAATTACTTTTTGGAATGGTTATTTATGGTGGGATTGGTTTTACTCTTGCACTTAATTATTGTTAATGTATAAACTTGAGATCTTTGAAAATGTCATGTTTTCTTTCAAAATTTACGTCTGCTATTTGTGAAATGAGACCGACCATTTTCTACGTTTTTCAAACTTTGTTAGAGTTTAGAAGGATTTTTCTACAGTGCTTAGTGCTCACCCCCTACCAATAATATTTTTTTGTTTTAGATTTTGTGCTAGAGAAAGATCTCAGCGTTGACGAGCCGGGAAATTGGGAGGTTCCACTAGAGGGGAACCTAGATCCCGAGGTAGACATCTAGAGCTATAAGTTTATTTTTGTGCTAGCTAAGGACTTTATTTACAATCATGTATAGTCTAGTATTTTGTTTATTCCACTGCTAAGTTTGAGTGTAATTCTTTTAGAATGTAAGTGTCATAGCTTGGTCTACTCTTTTGGGATGATATGGTGGATATTACATGTGATCAATGAAATTTTATTATTTGATGGGTAAATGGATCCGGTGTGGTCAATGTAGTATAATTGTACAGTTGTATTTTGGGTAAAGCTCCCTGTACAAAGGAGACTCTGCCCGAATTTTGTTAAATTAAGGACCCCCGATTTTTGGGGTGTTACAGATTTGGTATTAGAGTTTAGGAATTAGGTCTTACATGGGAGCTGTAGGTTATGGATTACCACTAGAAAAGTAGGACTAGGTTGAAGAAAATTGTTGATCTAATTTTATACGAACCTTATGCTTTAGATCAAAGTGATAACTAGGATGTCTTGTACATCAATGAAACTAAATTATGAATTGATGTGCAGGATGGACGGTGGACGTGGACGTTGGCGTGGTCAAGGAGGACAAGCAAATCTACCACCACCACCACCTCTCGATGCCATAAGCGGCATATATCAATGTTTGAGGGAGTTCACCACTTTGGTACAAAACCAGAATGCAAACAACAATCATAATGGTGGAGCTCACCCCCTAGCATAAGTGCCGGGCAATGGGGATGACAACCAGAGGATGGTAACTCTTCGAGAATTTCTGAGGCAACACCCACCTACCTTCCAAGGTAGCTCAAATCCTTTGGATGCGGATAGATAGATCTGCCAGGTGGAAGAAGATTTGTGACGGCATGGGAGTTACCGAAGACTTAAGGGTTGGCTTAGCTACCTATTTGTTCGAGGGTGAGGCCGACCATTTGTGGGATTCGATAAAGAGACGGAGGAACACAGATACACTTACTTGGGAGGAGTTCGATCAAGTCTTCCAAGACAAATATTTTCCTGAGTTGGTTAGAGACAAGATGAGTATCGATTTCCTCACTCTTCGACAGGGTAGTTTGACGGTGGGGGAGTATGAGAGAAAGTTTGAGGAGTTGTCCAGATATGCCACGAAATTCATATCCACAGAGGCCAAGAGGGCCAAACGTTTTGAGCAAGGCTTGAGGCCGGCCATTAGGGAGAAGTTTGTGGCTCTTAGGATCCGTGACTATGGGGATCTTGTGGATAGGGCTATGTTGGTGGAGAGAGATATGGAAGATAATCAGCGATGACAGAACCTTATGAGGGGAGGTCCGAACAGGACGAGTGCTAGTAGTAGTGGAGCACAGAGAGCGACACCCTACCAATCGCCCAGATCAGGTAGTTGGACAAAAACCACAAACAGCTCAAGGAGCGGGAGGAGTACCAGAGAAAGTAGGCACCGACCCACGTCGATGCTTTGCATGTTGAGGTGTTGGGCACTTCAATGATAACTGCCCATTACTTTCAACCAAAACCAACCAAGCAACCGGGCAGGTGAATGCAAACAAGCCACCTCTACAAAGGCCACTACAACAGCAGAGACTGTTTGAATCTCTAGCCCCAAGTGGCGCCAACCAAGGAAGGGTATTTGCTTTCACCCAACCGGAGGAAGATGCCTCCAATGCAGTGGTGGAAGGTATTGTTCTCCTCTACAATTCTTGGGCCCAAATTTTATTTGATCCAGGTGTGACTCATTCATTTATACGTACTGCATATGCTATTAAATTGGGATTAGGCTTCGAGAAGCTAGAACATGCGTTGTGTATTAATATGCCTACAGGAGAACGGTTGGACACTAGCCAGGTGTGTAGGGGTTGCGTGCTTCGAATTGGGGAGCACGAATTGATTGTAGATTTGGTTGCCTTAGACATGAAGGGGTACGACGTGATCTTTCGGATGAATTTGTTATCCACATTCCAGGCGGTAATGGATTGTTTCCGTAAATGGATTTCTTTTCAACTACGGGGAGGGGTATTATTCAATTTCGTGAATGACCGAAATTCCTCCCATCCATTTCCTACTACGGGTAGTAGGTTCTTGAAAGCGAAGGTGGGGAGCCATTTAAGTTTCTTAGCTAGCTTGATGGGAAATGATCGGGATAAATTCCATACAGATGTGGTGTTGATAGTATCGGATTTTCCAGATGTCTTCCTAGACGAACTACTCGAGCTACCCCCACATAGGGAGATTGAGTTCAAGATTGATCTCTAACCAGGAATCGAACCCATATCCATCGCTCCCTATCGGATGGCACCTTTGGAGTTAAAGG